GGGGGGGGGGGGAGAGAGAGACACAGGCTTCTTCTTTTCCAGATCAGTACACTAGACCTGAACAGACATAAAAGCTACTTTAGTCTTAAAGTCATTTGACATTTCATTCCCCTAATGAAGATGACATTGAAGATAAACCTTTACAAGTTTAAAAGTGGATACCTTTTGATCTAAACATATGCGAGGCATTCATGTGCTGGTTTCAAGAGCTTTAACATACGAACTAGACACTATCTGCATACTATCAGCACTGGTCAAATACCTGTAGAATGTTGCAATATAAGTAAAACCAAGAAAAAAAACATATTAAAAATGTGTTAAAAAACAAAGATGTTCTCGCTGAATGCACTTTATGTGAAGGAGCTACTGTAAGTTGATCCCTGCCCACCTCGCCTCCATGCTCTGCCCTGCAAACAACAACAGAGGTAACAATGGATGCCCAGTGACGCCACAGCTTTGAAAGCATCCCATCAATAATTCATATGTTCTGTTGTGTTCCTCAACACTGGCACGCATGCTAGTCTTTAATATGTTTGCCATACTGTGTGTGAGAGATGTCTGTCACTTTCTGTGATGAAAGAAACATGTCTCTGTGATGAGATGACAACATTTCCATTAGCTTGTTATGAGATAATCACTTCCATGCTGATTTGCATTCTAACCTGCAAGGCTGTCATTCTTACGATTTAACATTATCGATAAGCTGCTTTAAATTAGCATTAATCCTATTTTGAAGTTAATACACTTCACAGCAATTGTAATATAAACTTCGCTGCTGCAATGCTCCTGTAGAAGAAGACTAAACTCAACCTGGTTCTGTGTGAGAGAAACTCCCTCCTGCATGAACTTTGCATACCATTTACATGCACTAAAACGACCCCACTACAGGGGAGGGACAACCCCAAAAGCATATAGGGCCCCTTTAAGCCTGGAAGGCAAATGGTATGTTTAGATTTAAGTGAGTGCAGGATTCAGCAGTGCACTCTTACATTTGGTATCCTTTATAATAAAACACAACAGCTTCCTAAAAGATATCCTATTGTCTCATAATGTAACGATATCTCCATAACGTCTGTGTTAAGAAACAACAGACATAGAGGAAGCAATGCTGTATTCAAAGTGCAGCAGCCACTGGCTAATGGCTGCACTGGACCAATTTATGGCACAATGGTTTATGATGTATCTGCATCATAAAGGGCAGAGAAGGAAAAAGACACTGAAGGTGGGCTGAAGTATTTCAACATAAAACAAGATGTAAAATGTTGATGGAGGAGGCTTTTCCATTTAAGCATTCAAACTGCTTTTTTGTGAATAAGGTACTTTCTTTATTTTTATGGAGCAGCAAATGGTTTCCTTAGGTATAGCTATCTAAAGTTTATGACTTTAGAGCTTGAGCATCATACTGTGACAGCAGCCACAATGTGTTATTAGAAGCACATGACAGCTCTTATAAAGGGAGGAAGTTAGCCAAACCCCTCTTCTGAAATGTCATACAGTGCATTACAACTTGTAATTAAGAAAATATGATCTATTTCTGATTTACATGTTGTCTTTTTAGCAGCGTGTAAACATCATTAAGTCACATTCTCTCTTCTTTTAATTTACATTCAAGTCAAGTCAGTTTTATTTATGTTGGCCATAATCACACATTGTGTGTGTGTGTGTGTGTGTGTGTGTGTGTGTGTGTGTGTGTGTGTGTGTGTGTGTGTGTGTGTGTGTGTGTGTGTGTGTCTCGCTCGGTTTTATTCTGTTCAGCACCACGGACAGTACCAGACTGAGGCAGAGGTCCACAGCCGCAGAAACGTCTGGTCCGCTTTTTACAGCAGTATAGAAAACTACCTCAGATTCAAAAGTCACATTATTTGTCCTCGTCTTATTTATGTATTCCCGTTGGAGAGCCTTACTTCCTGCAGCAGGAAGTAGAAACACATCTGACGTTCTGCTCTTAGGTGTGAGTAAAATGTTATATGTTTTCAGTGGAGCAAAGATTTAAAATAGGGACAAATTGCTTAGCAATAACCTCACATTCATATTTCTCTCTCACAAACACATATATTGAGTCCCTCATTGTCTCTCACCCTCACCCTCCGAGGCACTCATTTGCCCTGACTTGTATCATTATGCTGCTGTGTGAAACGCCTGGTGAAATGAAAATGGAAAGCAGTGTATTTGGCGAGGTTAGAGGGGAAGACTACCCTCAATGGGGTTTGAATTGCCAAGATCCTGAATAAGCATTGTAATATAAGCTTGCAGGCAGAAAGCAAATGTGCTCAGCAAAGGAATTGGATTTGCATAACCTACACAAATACTGCTTCAAAATCCCAAAACTCTAACATTATGTCATACTGTAAAGGGTGTTATTGAAGGACTGCATGGGGTTTAGGGTTGGTCATTTTGGATTTGCAGAATATCATCCTCAGATGAGATCATTTTTAAGGACAGGTATTTCAAAGACATTATGTTGAAAAGGTGTTGAACCAATG